GTGGGTGTCAAAACAGTAGAAGAGGGTGCATTTGCCAGGCACCTCTGCTCACAGGGAAGAAATGGAGCCTCTCTGTGCCTCAGTCTCCCCTCCGTAATAGTCAAGGAATTGGGTGGTTGTAAAGATTAAACACACACAAAGCTCTTAACACAGTGCCTGTCACATAAGGGCTCAATAAATGTTGGCTCATGAGCTCCCGCTGCGGTGACCAGTCTGGCTTAGCCCAGATCGGAGGCTTGAGGGGCAGAACTGAGGCAGACACTCCAATCTTGGTGTCTACCTTCCCTCCACCCACTCGGGTAAACCATCCGTGCCTTTGCACTGACAGCTAAGCCCCGTGACCAGGCACTAATGACTTAGACCTTGGCAGGGCTGAGCAATGTTTGCCTGCAGGAACCTCCTTGGCTTCTTATTAAGAGGCTTCCTTGAGCTCCCAAAGTCCGGTTTCTGCCACACTGGGAAGGGCAAAACAAACACGTGTGCATTTTTCTATTGCTGCCTCAAGGGGTCCCTGCCTTAAGTATAAGAGAACCGGTTTCCTCTGGTACCACGGATGGGTGAACTGACTACCTGAGGTCACAGGCAGGATCCCATCCACACAGGAGAAGTGAGACACTGCGAATGCCTCCTACAGTGGAGAGGAACAGGGAGAGCACACAGGTCCCCACATTCTCACTGCTCAGAGGGCTCTAGAAGGGTCTGGACTTCCTGGATGGGCAGTCTGGAAAGCCCCAGCCTAGCTGGGCCATGCCCCAGGTGAGCAGGCATGGGTGACCGCCAGTGCTGCCATGACCAGGTGCACGATCCTGACCTTTAGGCGCTTCTTCCAACCCTCCTACCACCTGCTCCAAAGCCCTTCCTGATCTCCAGCCTGGCTGAGAGCCCATCCCACTCCCTCCCACCCACCATGTTTGAAGTGACCCAATTCGTGTCTGCTTGTCTGCTGGACAGAGCACCACAAGGGAGACAGTATGGAGACTTTTGCTTATGACTGTGTCCCTATCACCTAGCCCTGTGCCTGGTTATACAGCAGATGCATAACTACTGTGTACTAGGTAAATGGATAGGGCTAACAGTCAGACCAATCTCACACTGTCCTAGTGGGTATTAAATGAGATGGTGCACATATAGCACTTTACACAATGAATACTTAACAACTTTGGCAGTTGCTAGTAGTGGCTGCTCAGCTCCCTAAAATTGAGGCTGCTGCACACCCAGCTTTGGGTTTGGCTATTAGCTGGCTGATCCCCATCCTTTCTCCAGTCTCCAGAGGCCTCTAGCCTGGCCTCAGGAACCCCTGTAGCTCAGGCCGTGGCCTGCCAAGTAAGCCACCATTCTAGCACCCTCTGTGGGGAAGATACGGGTGGGTGAGAGCAGGACAGAGGATGGAACCAAACACTGTCAAGAAAGCTCACCAATTAATTTGCCTCAAAATGTCCCAGGCTTTCTGAAGAAAGGCATTACTTGAGAAACACTTCCTGTGGTGACCAGGCTGGCTGTGCCCCCAACCCACACACATATACGTGCACGCCTGCCCCTGATTCCTCCCCTTCCAGGAACAAAGCGTTCAGGATGTGAAGGAGGCTGGGCTGCCCCCAGGAGTGGAGGAGCCTCGTTCCTAACACTCTTCCAACATCTGGACCCCAAAGAACTTTAAGACTTATGGAGCGATTTCCTCTGCACCAGAGACTAACAGGCTTTTCTAAAGTAGACAGGAGCAGGAGGCCAGCTGAGCACCAGCCTCTGTGGACAGAGGGGTCACACACAGAAGGCTGCCAGGGGGAGGGGGCTTATACAGGAGGGCTGTTGGCCCCAATGGGATGCCTGAGGTGACAGGAAGCAGCGTGGATCCAGTCCTTCCATTATACAGAAAAGGAGACCCAGGAAGGCACAGTGTCTTCCCTGAGGAGACCTTGAAATTAGAGCCAAGAACCAAACTCCAAGGTATTGAAATTTCTACTGTAACTGGGGTGTTGAGGGCAGGGAGAGGGGCACCCCCTTCATGCCCATGCAGCCCATCCAGGTGCGAGGCTCCCCGGCTGCACACTCCCTGGCATGTAGGGCAGGCATGGCTTTGAGAACTGTACCCCCACACTTGCTCTAATACACTGCGGTTGCCCTTTTAAACTTCTTAATAATTTTTGAACAAGGACCCCATGTTTTCATTTTTCACAGAGCACCGCAGATTATGTAGCTGGTCCTCACTCACCAGTCATTGATGGTGTGTGATGGTGTGTCCCTGAATTAGTGTCTTAACCTCTGGAAGCCTCAGTTTTTTCCTCTGTAAATGGAAATAGCGAGAGCTCCTACCTCACAGAATGGCTAGAAAGACGAATTAAGAGAACATATGCAGAGCTCTTAGCAGGTGCCCAGGAAATAAAATAACTTAACCAATGAGTATTACTACTCTAGGTACAGTAACAATAATTATAGATGATGATGTGACCATGGAGATACCCTGCTCAATAAAAAGGATGTTAACCACCGCACCCCAGATCCGGTGAACCAGGAGAGGATCACGGATGCCCAGACACCAGGCGCCCTCCCCTGGCCTCTTACCTTCCCGGAATGGCTGTGTTTGCATCTGCAGCCTGATCTTGATGAGGTCCACGGGCGTGCCCAGCCCGACGGAGACCACGCCGGCCACCATGCTGGCCAGCAGCAGGTCCGACAGGCTGTGGGGCGTGCCGGCCCTGGGCTCCCTGCACTGTTGCTGGCTGAGGAACCTCTGCGTGTTACTGAAGACTCCAAATACCACGGAGTTGTAGACAGCGATGCTGGCCAGGGGGAAGGACATGCCCTTGAAGAAGCCGAACACCTGTGGGGAAACCCAGGGGGAGGAAGTATGACTGCTAGGGCCTGACGCAGGCAGGTGCCAAGCTCCCCACGCCATCCTGGGCACAGACCCTGCCCTCCTGCAGCCTGCGGGCTGGTGGCGAAACACTACAGAAATAGACCAATGTGCCAGCGAAGAGGATAAAAGAGGATACTGGTGTGATAGGGGAGACAGGAGTGAGTGAGAACATTGCTGCCCCGAGGAGGGACCGGCTTCTCATGAAGCCTTGTTGGCTAAGCAGTGGGATCCTGGGCCTGGGACCCGTGTTTGCCACCAGAGTGGCAGTGCTCTTGGGCTGTGGAGCCCTGGTGAGCAGGGGGCT